GGTGGGCTGGGAGAGAGACTGAGCATTTTTCCTGAACTTGAATTGTAGCCTGTGGTGCTTCCCTAATAAACCCCATAATCTGTGAACTCTGTGTGGCCACTGCAGCGAATTATCAAACCCAGGAGAGAGGCGGTGGGTGCTTTGGGAGGAACAGTTGGTGAAAAGGCTGGAGGGAGGCAGCATGTCTGGCCTTGTAGGAATAGGCCTTGGGTTACTGCTGGTAATCCTGTCTTCATCTTGTGGGATTAGAGGAGGTCAGAACATGTGACCTCCTTGCCCTTTTTGCAAGAGTCAAATGGAAAAATCACATCTAGAATCCTGTGAGAATTTTAAAAATGTTCATTAAGAATTATCTATCATATTCCTGCCCTAAGGCATTTCCTGTGTCTCCACACTGCTGGGATAATTCCATATCAAGTGAACCTTCTCCACCTTGGGGTACCTGGGTGATACAAATGGTTCACCACTCAACTACTAACCAAAAGGTTGGCAGTTTGAGTCTACCTAGAGGTGCCTTGGAAGGAAGACCTCACAATCCACTACCAAAAGATCATAGCCACTGAAACCCCGATGGAGAACACTTGTACCCTGAAACACAGGGATCACCTTGAATCAGAATCAACTCAACAGCAACCAGTTTGGGATTTTTTGCCTTGTCCACTGTTTATTGCCCTTCAGCCTAGGGGAGGTTCTGTACCTTGCAATAACTGCAGTTGAATGGTACTTTATTGACTTTTCTTGTGGGGGTGTGGGGATCTTGTGTGCCTTTCTTCAGATCGCCATAAATATGCACCAAGGAAACCAAACGACCATCTCTGAATTCATCCTCCTGGGACTCTCCAACAAGGTTGAACAACAGAAGGTCCTCTTTATGCTTTTTCTGGGTATGTACCTGGTCACAGTGATTGGGAATGGGCTCATCATGCTGGCCATCAGCTTGGACTCTTACCTTCACACCCCTATGTATCTCTTCCTTGCCAATCTGTCCTTTGGGGATATTTCCTCTATTTCCACCTCAGTCCCCAAAATGCTGATGAATATTCAGACTAAGAGTCAATCCATCTCTTATGAGAGCTGCATCACACAGATGTACTTTTCCATTGTGTTCGTTGTCATTGACAATTTCCTCTTGGGTGTCATGGCCTATGACCGTTTCGTGGCTATCTGCCACCCTCTGAACTACACAACCATCATGCAGCCCAGGACCTGTGCTTTGCTGACAGTCATCCCGTGGGTCCTCAGTAATGTTGTTGCCCTGACACACACCCTTATGCTCAGTCGATTGACCTTCTGTGACAGCAACATTCTCCCACACTTCTTCTGTGACCTGGCCCCTCTGCTCAAGCTGTCCTGCTCAGACACAACAGTCAATGAGCTTGTGTTGTTTGTCATGGGCTTATCTGTCATCACCTTCCCCTTTGTCCTCATCCTCTTCTCCTACATCCACATTGTCAAGGCTGTCCTGAGAATCTCATCCACGGAGGGAAAATGGAAAGCCTTCTCTACCTGTGGCTCTCACCTGACAGTTGTATTACTCTTTTATGGGACCATTGTAGGGGTTTACTTCTTCCCTGCCTCTACTCACCCTGATGACAGAGATAAGATCGGTGCAATCCTATTCACTGTGGTGACACCTATGATGAACCCCTTCATCTACAGCCTGAGGAACAAGGACATGAAAGGTGTCTTGCAAAAGCTCATCAATAAAAAAAGGTTTCTTCTTTGATGCCCTGGGCATCTAAATCTCATTTATCCCTGTAACCAGATGGATGATTCTGCCCAGAGTTTGTAGCATAATTGTGATGGTTCAGCTATTGATGGACTCTCAGATCTCTTCTTCCTATTCCAATCTCTGAGGGGTCGTGGCTTTTCCACAAAGCTGTGTTCTTAGAAACAAGACAACTCCCTTGTCTTGTTTGTATTGTTGGTAAGCTACAACAATAGCACAGATTTTAATTATAATCTATGTTACTACAAATTTATGGGCAAATCGTTTATAACTTAGACAAGAGCAGGTGTATTTGCATGTGCAGAGGCTAACTTTTGTAGTTTTGAAGACAGTTATTAATAATTCCATTCTTCGACCTAGATTTCTCTAGGTCAGCTTTTCTTAAAAAAGTACTATTCAGTGGGATGTTTGATAGTTGTGGGAATGAAGGGTTCCACATTCAAATAATTTAGAACAACTCTGAGTTAAAGGAAGCAAATTGTCTTAGCTCTGCAACTTGTTAGAGCCTTTCATATAGTATGAATCTCCAAGAATGTATATGGTATGCAGCATTTCTCAACACTAAATTTAATCAATCATACACATCTTGATTCATCACAAAGTAGTGCATGCACAGAATATATTTTGGGAAGAGTGATTTTCAAATTATTTCAGTGGGAAACCACAGGGCTTGTATATAGAAGACATCAGGTTCTGGTCCCCAGTATCCATGAGATTTTCTGTATGTCAGTTCATCTCTGTTTTCTCTAAAGTAAAGTGGGGTCATTGGTCTAGATCATTTTTTTTTTTTTCCATCTAAGGATATACATCAAAATTAACAGGGAAATTTTTTCAAAATCCACATATTCTACCCTGAATTCTATCTGGTCCCCAGATACAACAGTTTTGTATTCAGATTGGCAATCAAACTTATAAGATAAACCCAGAACCAAATTTACTGAGCTTTAAGAAAGGATAAAGGAGCCTGCTGGTGCAATGGTTAAGCATTCAGATGCTAACCAAAAGGTTGGAAGTTTGAACCCAGCAGCCACTCCATGGCAGAAAGATGAAGTGGTCTGCTTCCATAATGAGTGCAGGGCTGGAAACCCTCAAGGGCAGTTCTACTCTGTCCTATAAGATCTCCATGAATCAGAATTGACTTGATGGCAACAGGGTGAAAAAGGATATGGGATAGCCACACAACCTGCACAGTGTCAGTGTGGTGGCAGTCCTGTGACCCTCAGGCACCCTTTCTAATAACCCAGTCATTCTGCACTTGGAAGGTGCATGGTCATGAGACAGTGCACTGAGTGGATGTAGACCTCTTCAGTTCAGGGAAACAGTCACCTCTAGGGTTTTTGAGCATTATGCCTGCTAATCACATAGCCCCCTCAGGGATGTGTGACTGGTACCCATTAACTAGTACAGCTGTATCTCAGCAAATACAGGTTGCTCCTTAATTACATATTCTTCCAAAATGAATTTTAACAGATACAGATGCTCAAGTCGGTCAAAGCCATTTCAGCAGGATTGTCTACATTTTGGAGTCCTTGGGTGGTGCAGTTAATTGCCTGACTACTAACAAAAGAGTTGGCCATTTGAACTCACCCAGAGGTGCCTCAGAATAAAGACCTGATGATCTCTCTCCAAAAGACCACAACCACTGAAAACTCTCCAGAGAAGTTCTACTCTGCAACATGTGAGGCCATCATGAGTCGGAATAGACTCTATGGCAAGTGGTTTGGCTTGTTTATCTTGTTGTTTTTTTTTTTTTGGTCTGTATCTTGGATACAATACACACTTAATGTTGTTTGCTGTTGAGTCATTTCTGACTCATAGTGACACTATGGAACAGAGTAGAACTACCCCATAGGGTTTCCAAGGTTGTAATCTATACAGAAGCAGACTGCCACATTTTTCTACTATGGAGCAGCTGGTGGATTCAAACTGCCAACCTCTCAGTTAGCAGCCCAGCAGTTAACAACTGCACCACCAGAACTCGTTACATATTTAATAAACCAAAAATACAAACCGACTGCCATTGAGTTGATTCTGACTCATAGCAACTCCCACTGGATTTCCAAGGCTTCTGCTTTACAGAAGTAGACTATCTCATCTTTTTCCACAGTGGGGCTGGTGGGTTTGAACCACCAACCTTTTGGTTATCAGCCCAATGCCTTAATCACAGTGCCACAAGACCTCCTTTATGCACTTATACTTCCCTTGAATTAGTTGCAAGGGGGATTTGACCATGGGTCATGTCCTCAAGCTTCCCTGAGACTAAGAAAAGGCTACAGACCAGATTCTACCTCTTTCCTTCCAAACCCCACTCTGGATCCACTGGCCCAGACTCTCGGAGGAGTTAGGCATCTGTCCTTTGAAATCACTCCTCAGATGACCTTGATGGAATGAAGAATCACAGAATCAGATAAGCTCCGAGTTCCACTCTAGCCCTGGATTTTGTGAATCTAGATGTCTCTAGTGATGGAGATGTCTTTCAGAATAGGCAATGAATACACTTTGTGGCTACCCAGAAGAGCATTCTTTTGAAGTGGTGGAGTCCTCTTATTAACTAATTCCATTTTAGAGACAGCTATTACTAGTTATTTGATTTGATTAGATTTCTCCAA